CGTGTACTTCGTATCCATCCGCCAAATCTATCTGATGCTTCTAACAATGTGTTTTATTAGATCGTTGACTGCAACTTACATAAGAAGTCGATTTATGTTTTGGATTTTTAGAAACTTTCAAATTTACCATGCCTTTAAAGAATAATGATCACAATTGTATTTTTCTCAATTGATTTCTATTTTTTATTTATTTTTTTTATATTTTTTTTTATTTTTTGGTATTAAATAAATCACTAATTTGTTATTCAATTTTTGGCATTGCATTGAATAAATTAAATTTTCTAGCATTACTTAAAATAATAAAACTGTATATACTGTATTTGAATAAAAATTAAATTATATCAATATCGATATATGTATCATCTATACTTTATGCACATTTGATACGTAGATTAGATGTGATAACCGGTTGAGACTATATATGTACGCACGTACGTACGTACGTACCAAAAAAAAAATGCCACCACAAAATTTTGTCATTCTTGGAGGTGGCATCTCTGGTTTAACAGCAGCATGGTATTTAGCTCGTAATGCGCCTTCCTCAATAAAAATCACATTGTTAGAAGCATCAGATAGATTTGGCGGATGGATACGAAGTACACGTGTTGGAGAAGAAAGGATACTTTTTGAACAAGGCCCCAGAACCTTGAGACCTAGTGGATTAGGTGCAGGTGTTATACTGGATATGGTAAAAAAATAAAAACAATTAGTATTTGTAACAAAAACTGTTATTACATTTTATAAACTTTGCTAATTTTGTGTACATATATGTAATATAAAAAAAAAAATTAAGGCTGCAAAATTGAATCTAACAGGATTCATTCATGCAGTTGGTAAATTTGAGCCAGCTGCCAGAAATCGCTATTTATATTATCCAGATCGTCTCGTTCAACTTCCAGGAGGCAATTTACTTCCAGGTTTAAAAAGTGTTGTACAGAATAAATTTATATTATCTTCAATATATTCAGTACTGCGTGAACCATTCATTAAACCATTCAAAAATTTGGATGATGAAAGTATTCATAATTTTATTACAAGAAGATTTAATTCAACATTGGCTGATACATTAATGAGTGCACTCATACATGGAATTTACGCAGGTGATGTAAAAAAACTTTCGATCAAGTCCACGTTTAAACGAATGTTTGATATGGAACAGATTTATGGATCGGTAATTAAAGGTACAATTAACAGCAAAAAATTGCCTACACTTTCTAAGAAAGATG